CAAAAAAGGGGCGCCTGGGTGGCTTAGTCGGTTAAGCGTCCGACTTTCGCTTGGGTCATGATCTCGCGGTTCGTGGGTTCGAGCCCCACGTCGGGCTCTGTGCTGACTGCCAGCTCAGAGCCTGGAGCCTATTTCAGTCTGTGACTCCCTCTCTCTCTGACCCTCCCCTGCTCACGCTGTCTCTCTCTCTCTCTCTCCTAGAAATAAATAAAACATTAAAAAAAAATTTTTAAAAATGTTTCATTAATTAAAAAAAAAAGAAATCAAAAAATAAAACTCTAAGCTTTATGCCATACAGGTTGCAAGAACTCACAACATTGAGGTGCTCTCATTTTCCAAGCCACTGGCTTTGGGGAAATATTCTCCTTGTGCATTCCCCTGTGTGCTCCTCTTTCTTTGCCTTTCTCCACAACCACAACCACCAGCCCCCCATAGCAGTACAATCTATTTCTCTCCAAGCCATATCTCTGTACTGTCTACAGTACAGTCTTTGAAGTGCCTCTTCGCTCTCCTTAGTTAAGGTGTTCCTCTGTCCATCTTCAGGTTGCTTTTTGGGATATTAGTATGATTTGATAGTTATCTAGTTGTGTTTGCGGGATGTGGTGAACCTAGAGTCTTTCCACATCGCTTCCATCATCCTCTTTTCTGAAGAATCCTTGCTTTAAAAGCCTGTTAAAACTCACAAGAATTTTGCAAAGTTGGAGAATACAAACCCAACACTTATAAACTTTTTTTAAATGTTTTTTATTTATTTATAGGAGAGAGAGAGAGACAGCATGAGCAGGGGAGGGTCAGAGAGAGAGAGGGAGTCACAGACTGAAACAGGCTCCAGGCTCTGAGCTGACAGTCAGCACAGAGCCCGACGCGGGGCTCGAACCCACGAACCGCGAGATCATGACCTAAGCGAAAGTCGGACGCTTAACCGACTAAGCCACCCAGACGCCCCCAAACCCAACACTTATAAATGAACTGTGTTTCCACACAACAAAAAAACAATATTCCAAATAAAGACAATTGCATTCACAATAGCATCACAAAGAATAAAATGCACAGGATTTCATGCCAGATAGAGTTCATAACTACTGCGATGAACACTGGAAAATATTGGGCCCGAACTGGAAAAAAAAAAAAAAAAGAGGAACCACATCCATCTTGCATAAGAATGTTTAACACTCCTGGGCTGTTGGGCACAGTATGGCTCAGTTGCTTAAGCGTCCAACTGTGGCTCAGATCATGATCTGAGCCCTGTATCAGGTTCTATGCTGACATCTTGAAGCCTGGAGCCTGCTTCAGATTCTGTGTCTCCCTCTCTCTCTCTCTGACCCTCCCCTGCTCATGCTGTCTCTCTCTTTCAGAAATAAATAACAAAAAACATGTAAAAACTAAAAAAAAAAAAAAAAAAAAAGACAAACTCCCAAGCAGGCACCACACAGTAGCATGGGAGCCCATTATGGGGCTCAAACTCATAAACCACAAGGTCATGCCCTGAACCAAAGTTGGCACTTAGCCAATAGAGACACCCAGGTGCCCTGATTTTGACGTATTTTAGATTCCACGTGATTTCATATAGTATTCCCCCCTCCCCCCCCATGTGATTCTTATTTAATTCAATAAAATCTCTTCAAGTTTGTCTGAGTCACACACAGACTCTTCAATGCTGGACCCCTATGGCAGAAAGATTAGACTTAAGAAGCAATCAAAATTAAGCAGATGAGGGGCGCCTGGGTGGCTTAGTTGGTTAAGCGTCCGACTTTTGCTTAGGTCATGATCTCATGGTTCGTGGGTTCGAGCCCCGCGTCCGGCTCTATACTGACTGCCAGCTCAGGGCCTGGAGCCTGTTTCAGAGTCTATGTCTCCCTCTCTCTCTAACCCTCCCCTGCTCACGCTGTCTCTCTCTCTCGCCTAGAAATAAAGCATTAAAAACTTAAAAAAAATTAAGCAGATGAAGGAAAAATGTTTACTTTTCACCTGTCTAAAAATAATATACATAGGAAAGCTGTCCACGATCAGAGCACTCACCACACGGACTACGTTGTGATACAAGCTACGTCAACAGGGAAGAGCCCAGGACCGACCATGTGAACAAAGTTTTCTATGTCCTACTGTTTTAGAGCAGCCCAGAAAATATTTGCTTATCAAATACTTACTTTTCATCTTCCTGTGAATTACATTCTTTCCCTTGGAGGCCCCAGACTTCTGTTCTTCCCTCCTTCCCTTCTTCCTTCCTTCCTTCTCTCTTCTTCAAAGACATGTATACCTTACTTTTCCTTTCTTTGCAATTTCCCTGTTTGTGGAGTCTCCATACATATAGTATTAAATTTGAATGTCTCCTGTTTGTCACGTGCCAGTTTACTTCTTTGTCAACAATGAGAACTTCCTCTGAGGTTCTAGTTCATGCTTTCACATATTCTTCCAAACCATACTTGGCTCCTCTTTTATACAATCAACGTTATGGGAGAAAAAGATACAGATTTGTAGGGCACAACACCTATAGTCTGGGGGAAATCCATGACACCCATTTTCAAGTTCTAAATATGAGAAGGGTAATTCACATACACGTTCCTGAGGTACCCAGCACAGGACCTCATGAGTAAAACTGTGTGCATGCAGAGTAATAGCTCCATAAACACTGCCTTAATGATGTATCTATGTTATTTTCTAAATACAGACTTTCTCAGACTATACCTGTTCCAAATAGTGTCATGGGTACATACATCTAACACACTGACCTTTGCTCTCGAGCTTATGGCTTGACTAATTGTCGGTTCTTTCAACAGGCCACTGATGCTTGGGAAACAAGGAACCCAATGTTCCTAGAATTTCAAGTTTGACCATGGTAGAAAAGTGGCCTTTTCTGTTGCCAGCAAGTCTTGAGGTCATATGGAGAATGATTCAGCACTGTACCACTGCTTCCCCTGCATGTCAATGTTCAGGAGTTCCCTGACTCCCCTTTAAAAACTCCCTGCTTCTTATGTGGCTTTGTAGATTGTCTGTATCCCTGCTTCAGAGAATGAAAATAGGTCAAATAATGTGTTTCTAATAAATCTCATCGGGTCCCTGTCTCTGAACCTATCCCACCATGTCCAGGCCCATTGAGCATCATCTCCAATATCTACTTTAATATGTGACATTTGACAGCAATGCCCACAATGATTACATCATCCAGTATGCCCTCCTCCATAAGTGCCACTGATCAAGGCCTGGGCATCACTGGAATCATTGTCATCTTAGAGCATCTGGTCCTCAGTAACACATAGAAATTCAATTAAATCCTATAGATAAAATGGCACTTCTCTCATCCTCAGAAACCCACCACGTTTGCCAATTCCTTATCTCTATGACTTTTATTCATCAGATGATGCGACCAAGAGCGGTCTCTGACTTTGGAGTTATGAAAGGGAGCAACTTCCGGTTCCCACCCTACACTGGAAAGAGATCTTCACATTTTCTTACTTTCCATCCCGTTCCTACAGTATTTAATGATATGAGATAGGTAAAAATTGGTGGTCAGATAACACTCCACTCCACATATCCAGATAAACATATTAAAATCAATTGTTTTATTAATTAAATGTATTAAGTTCACACATAGGCAAAGTAATGCATTTCAAGTCCACTCTATTACCACTGTCCAAAATCTAGAAAACAAGCCTTCACAAATATTTGATAAGATGATGTGGGAATACAGATATCCATAATGTTAAGGCCTGAGGCCATTCTTGTAAAATATGTATAATCATATGACATTTTGGGGAAGTGGTTGTTATGCCCTTTCTAATCTCTCTGAGCATTCCATCATTTCAACCACGTTAACTGACATTCTCTAACTATGACCATGGTGAAGATATACCAGTGTTTTACTAACCTGTCACCTCTTTTTTCCTTATAGACCATTTGGGACATTATTTTATTTACAATAGTCAAGAGTTTTACTTTTATTATTATTCTTTATTTATTTCAGAGAGAGAGACAGTATGTGAGCAGGGCAGGGGATGAGAGAGCAGGAGAGGGAGACATAGAATCTGAAAAAGGCTCCAGAATCTGAGCTGTCAGCAATGAGCCCGACACGGGGCTCAAACACATGAACCATGAGATCATGACCTGAGCTGATTGGACACTCAAATGACTGAACCACCCAGTCATCCCAAGATTTTCATTTTTAATACAAGGGAAAGAATGGTGTTCTGAACACCTATTACATTAGAACTTACATCAATGATTTCACCAAAAAAAGCATCTCCATGAAGATTTTCTTCATAAATGGTATATTATGTTGTCCATCTTCCATGAAAAATGACACAAGTCACACCTAATAAAGAAGGGCACGTCATATCTTTCATGCATCAACAATCAGCCACATAATTTTCAAAAACCACTGGGAACTAATGAATTTTGGAAGTAATTCGAGAGTAGAAATATATTAATGTTTACTAGTCACAGATGTCACTTAGCGTTGAGGTGAGAAAAAACAGCACAGACTGAAATTAACGTGCCTATGCAAAAATTGATCCATTTAATCTCTTGAGGCATAATGGCATATACACTGTTTAACATTGTATTATTCCTTATCATTAGTATTTTGATGTGTGTCTGAGTAGAGACTGATGTACTACTTTGCAATGTGAATTCTGAGACATTTATTGGCATTTGATATTCCGTTAAATATCCTTGTAAAGATTTATATCTTTCAAGATACCTTCTTTTATGAAGAAGTGTCTGGTGCTTGCTAACGTGTACATTTAATATGAAGGCCTTTCCTCAGTCATTATGTCTGTAGAATTTACATCTCGTGTGTACTTTAGGATATTGATTAAGGATCCAATTCCAGTCATAAGCCCTGCAACTTTCTCCACATGTTCTATCCACTAAGAGAGCTATGATAATGAGGAAGTTGTGAATTCCAGCAAATGGCCGGACACGTTCTTTACTTTTGTCATGTTTCTCCTCAGTAAAATGTCTGTGATGCAGAGTAGGGTTAGGCAGTCATGGAAGTTTACCACATTCCTCATAGATTAAGTGTTTTCTCCAGTATGAGTTCTGTGATGCAGACTGAAGCTTCACCTCTGATGAACAGGCTTCCCAAATTCTTTATATTTGCAAAGTCCTCCCCAGTGTTCCCTCTTCGATCAGGAGTCAGGGTGTAGCATTGCTTCAAAGCCTTGACACATTCTTTAGTATTCCGTGGTTATTCTGCAGGATACATTTTCCAATGGGAAGTAAGGGGTGAGCTGTCCACAAAACGTTTTGCACTATCCTTAAGTTTGGAAGATTTGCTCTAGTATGAATTCTGCAGTAAAAGTAAAGATTAAAGAATGATTAAAGACCATAGAACATTCTTTACATTGGTTTCCATCAAGTATGAATTCCGTGATGTCGACTAAGGCTTGATTCTTGGGTGAAGGCCTTGTCACATTGTTTACATTGGTGAGGCTTCTCCCCAGTATGGATTCTGTGGTGTTGAATAAGGTATGAGCGGTACGTAAAGGCCTTGCCACGATTCCTTACATTGGTAAGGTTTCTCTCCAAGATGAATTTTCTGATGTGCAGATAGATTTGAGTGCTGGGTAAAGGTCTTTCCACATTCTCTACATTGGTAAGGTTTCTCTCCAGTATGGATTATGTTATGTTGATTAAGGGCTGAGGGCCAGTTAAAGGCCTTCCCATATTCTTTACTCTTGTAAGGTTTCTCTCCAGTATGGATTCTGTGATGTTGATTCAGAGCTGAGCAGTTCTTAAAGGGCTTGCTACATTCTTTACTTTGGTGAGGTTTTGCTCCAGTATGGATTTTGTGATGTTTGGTAATATCTGCGTTGTGGGTAAAGGCCTTGCCACATTCATTACAGATAACTTTCCTCTGGTATGGATTCTGTTATGTTGAATCTGGGATGAGCGATGTGTAAAGGCCTTGCCACATTCTTTACATTGGTAAGGTTTCTCTCCAGTATGGATTCTGTGATGTTGATTCAGGGATGAAGACCAGTTAAAGGCCTTGCCGCATTCTTTACACTTGTAAGGTTTCTCTCCAGTATGGATTCTGTGATGTTCCTTAAGGGTTGAGGATCCAGCAAAGGCCTTGCCACATTCTTTACATTGGTAGGGTTTCTCTCCAATATGCATTTTCTGATGTGCAGATAGATTTGAGTGCTGGGCAAAGGTCTTTCCACATTCTCTACATTGGTAAGGTTTCTCTCCAGTATGGACTCTGTGATGTCGAGTAAGTTTTGAGTAGTGCATAAAGGCCTTGCCGCATTCTTTACACTTGTAAGGTCTCTCTCCACTATGGATTCTGTGATGCTCCTTAAGGGCTGAGGATCCAGTAAAGGCCTTGCCACATTCTTTACACTTGTAAGGTTTCTCTCCAGTATGGATTCTGTGATGTCGATTAAGAGCTGAGGGCAATTTAAAGGCCTTGCCACATTCTTTACATTGGTAAGGTTTCTCTCCACTATGGATTCTGTGATGCTGATTAAGAGCTCTGGGCCAGTTAAAGGCCTTGCCACATTCTTTACATTGGTAAGGTTCCTCGCCAGTACTGATTAGTTTATGTCCATTTACTGATGAGCCATAATTAAAGGTTTTACTACATTCTTCACATTTGTAAGGTTTGTCTCCAGTATGCACTCGCTGATGTTGAAGTTGTGTTGAGTGCCAGTTGAGGGCTCTGTCACATTCCTTACCAATGTATTCTTTCTGTCCACTCTGCATTTTCTTATTTATATTTACCCTTGATGACTCACTAAACATGTTCCCAAGTTCACTGCATGTAGATGGGTTTTTTCCCACATGAATCCTCTGATGATCATGATCATTAGAGGACTGATTAGGAATTTTCCCACAATCATTATACTTTGAAGGATTTTCTCCCAAATGTGTAATCTTATGTATAAGAAGGTTGGAGCTTTCATGAAACACTTCTTTACATTTATTTGATTCATAATGGTTCTCTGACAAACATGTCCTTCGATGTTTCATAACATTTGAACCCTGGTTAAGTATTGTCTCAGATTCACTGCAATAAGCAATTCTGTTTTCATTGAAAATGCTGTGGTTAGGGTTTAAGGTCGATTGCTCAGAGAAGGACCCTTCAAATGGATGCCACTTACCACTTTCTCCTCCAGTTTTAAATCTCTGATATTCAGAAATATTTGACTGAAAGGTCAATGAAATCCTATGGCCAAAATGGTACAAATGTGTGTTTTCATGATGGACAAGGTCACTTCCCAGATTTTCAAAATTTTTGTTCTGCAAATATGTGTGTTTCACCACTTGATTTGAGCCTTTGCCTATAGAAACACACTGCTTTGCAGAAGTAATGGACTTCAAAATGGGCGTTCCCCAAAATGCTTTAGATCCTTCACCGATTGGGGCAGTGAGACTCTTATAATGGGAAGTTGTCTCCATTTGCATAGGTGCTTCATGACATCTTTGGTGCCCTTCTCTCTCCCCAGCACTGTTCCCGTCTATCACTAAGAGTCCATTCTCAATGACGTTCTCTTTACATCTACCCACTGACACTCTCTGGAAAGAAGTTTCTATGCACATCTTTGGAAGGAGGCTCTGAGGGCCATTTGAAGACACAGCTGAAAGGTAATGAATAAAAGAAAAATCATTCCACATACTACTGTCAGGTGAATACAATTAAAATTTCTGGCACACAAAACTGAAATCAGAGAACTTTAACTTTAGGAAAAATGAATCATTAGTTTTTCTACATCACTCAGATTGTATCTGTATTTAATTCCAACTATTTTTATATAATGTTATTGTTGGCATATTTTACAACTTCGGTGGCATTTGTTTATTTAGAAATAAGAGGTTTTGCGGGTGGCTCAGAGGGTTGAGCATCTGACTCTTGGTTTCAGTTCAGGTCATCATCTTGTCGTTAAGGAGTTCCACCCCACATCCTGTTTGGCACTGACAGTGTCGAACCTGCTTGGAATTCTCTCCTCTTTCTTTGCTCCTCCTCCACTCTCTAACTCTCCATCTCTTGAAATACGTGGGAGGGGGGAACCTTAAAAGAAATGAAAATTTCTTGCTTGATCCTAAAAAATGGGTTATGCCCTTAAATTCTGTGTTATACTGTCTTTTAAGTGCTTAATACATCAGGGTTTTCATTAGAGGTTTCCATGTTGTATATTAATGAATATACTTTACAATTTTACTGTCCTTGAAGACATGCCACTAGTTCAAAGTGTTCAGTTTTTTCCTGGATGCACACTCAGAGTTCAGTATTATAGCTACAGGTGACCTAGGTGGTTCAGTACTTTCAGTATCCAGGTTCAGCTCAGGCCATGATTTCAGGGTCAGTGAGTTGGAGCCCCGTGTCAGACTTTGTGCTGACAGCTCCGAGCCTGGAGCTGCTTCAGATTCTGTGTCTCCCTCTGTCTATGCCCCTCCCATGTTCAGACTCTTGTCTCTCCTTCTCAAAAATGAATAAACATTAAGTATTTTTAAAAAGGAAACAATTTACAATAATAGATACACAGGGACTCCTGGGTGCTGTTTTAGTTGGTTGAGTCTGACTGTTGATTTCACCTCAGGTCATGATCTCACATTTTAGGACTTCGAGCCCTGCATTGGGCTGTGTGGTGACAGAGCAGAACATGCTTGGGATTCTCTCTCTCCCTCCCTCCATCTCTGTTCCTCCTCCCCTGGTGCTCTCTCTCTCCCAAAAGAAAAAATAAATGTATAGTAACATTCCTTTACATAATTCACCATTTTTATGTAGAATTATTGGGTTATAGTTTGTCTTATTCTGATTTTGCAATTCGATAATAATGTGGTTCCTTTTGTATGGATTTTTCCACTACATTATTTTTCAACTTCAGCTTTAGGTGTGGTTTTGTTTTTACCTGTGTATTTTCGTACAGGGTGACAATTTTCAGCTCATTACATTTTCGGACAGTGTGAGTGTCACTCAAACATAAATCACCTTTATGCCCTCTGCCAATACAATTATCTTACTATTTGTCTCTAGAAATATTACCCTGGCATACTTTGTGAATCATCCTGTTATTTCTTTCCTGGGTTAGTGGTCAGTGAATGTTGTTTATTCTCTATGTGTGTTGTCATGAGAATAGAATTAAATTTTTTATCTGTTTATTGGTGAATATATTTGTACATATTTTCATTGTGGTTTCCTTAGAGATTACTTAAAATACCTTAAAGGTATAACAAACCATTATATCCACTGTTGTCACAGAGCTGGACACAGGGCGTGAACTCACAAACTGTGAGACCATGACCTAAGCCTAAATCAAGAGCCTGACAGTTAAACAACTGAGCCACCCTGATGCCCCTATGTAGCCATAATATTAAACTGTGACTGTATACACATAAAAGAAATGGAGCATTTCAAATTATTGGTATGACAGTAATGTTGTGAAGTATGTTAATTAAAACTAACCATGGAGGGGCACCTGGGTGGCTCAGTCAGTTAAGTGGCCAACTTCAGCTCAGGTCATGATCTTACCGGCTCATGAGTTTGAGGTCGGTGTCAGGGTCTGTGCTGACAGCTTAGCGCCAGGAACCTGCTTCGGATTCTGTGTGTGTGTCTCTCTCCCTGCCCTTCCCCTACTCACACACAGCCTCTCTCAAAAATAAGTGAACATTAAGAAAAAAAAAACACCAACCATGGAAACCTCTAATGAAAAATCTTATGAATGAAGCAGTTAAAAGATATTAAAAGTGTATTGTGTTAATAGATCCTTCCAATTACATAAATTTTAAGAGTGTAATCCATTCTTTAGAATCGAGCAACAAAAGCCATTTCCTTTAAGTTTTTTTTTTTTAAAGCATATTGTGAGAGAGACAGGGTAACACAGAGGGAGACAAAGAAAGAAAATAAAAGAGGCAGAGAGAGAGGGAGAAAAAGTCCCAAGCAGGCTCCATGCTGTCAGTGCAGAGCAGGATCCAGGTTAAAAACTCACATACCATGAGATCATGCCTGAACTGAATTCAAGAGTCTGATGTTCAACGCTCTAAGCCACTCATGTTCCCCCAAATCTCATTTCTGAGTAAACAAGCACTGGCAGTATTGTAAATAGCAAGCACATTATTAAAAAAATCTCTGGGATTGAATTCAGATACATTCTGAGAAAAGTAGAAAAACTAATGATTCATTTTTTCTGAAATAAATTTCATTTACAATTGAAACTTTTTTCTACATACAGAAATTTTACTAACCATCACCCTCATTTGTTATAAAGCAAATGCCCCTGTCATTTCAGAACTACTGATCTGGGACAGATAGGGACACCTGAGTGGCTCAGTCAGCTGAGCATCAGACAGACTCAGATCATGATCTCACAATTTGTGGGTTTGAGCCCCATGTCAGACTCTGTGTAGATAGCTCAGAGTCTGGAGCATGCCTCTAATTCTGTGTCACCTCTGCCTCTGCCCTCTCCTGCTCACTCGCTCTCTCTCTCTCACAAAAATAGGCATTAAAATCAAAAAAAATTTAAAAAATTTTAATGTAGGGGCGCCTGGGTGGCTCAGTCGGTTAAGCGTCTGACTTCAGCTTGGGTCATGGTCTCACGTTTCGTGGGTTCAAGCCCCGCATCGGGCTCTGTGCTGACAACTAGCCCAGAGCCTGGAGCCTGTTTCAGATTCTGTGTCTCCCCCTGTCTTTGACCCTCCCCGGCTCATGCTGTCTCTATCTCTCTCTCAAAAATAAATAAAATATTAAAAAAAAATTTTAATGTGATAAATCATAATGTCATCTCATACACAACTACTCAGAAAGTGAAAACATATATGACAAAGTCACATGAACTTCATAGTATACATGACAAAATTCTAAAACGATTCAAGTATTAAGAAATAATGTAACAACTGAGACTTCATTATGGACTGCGAGTTTTAAGTTCTAAATGTTCTATCGCCCCTTTGATATTAATCGATGTAGGAATGCTGGCAACATCATAGGTGCTTTAAATTCCTTCGCCAGTGAGGAATGGGACACATGCAGTGTAAATATCTTATTTTAGTTAATAATACACAAAATGAACTTCTCTTAGTTCTTAAAGTTTATTTGTATTTATGTTGAGAGAGAGATAAGACTAAGTAGGGGAGGAGCAGAGAGGGAGAAAGGGAGACAATTCCCAGGTTGCTCAGCGCTGTCATCACAGAGGGCTGTGTGGGACTCAAATTCACTAACTGTGAGATCGTGACTTCAGCTGAAGTCAGAAGCTTCAAAAACTGATCCAGCCATGCGCCCTAAAACCTGAACTTCTGAAGTAAATAAAGGTTGAGATTTTCTCATTTTAGGGAGGTGCTTTATTATCTGATGAAATTAGTGGGTCTCAATTTTGTATGATTGAGATGAAAGCCTCCATAATATTGGAAAGCATAAACCAGATAACATGTGATATCAGTCCCCAGTTTTCCCGGGATTTCTGTACCAAACCCCAATATACCTACCACTACCCTGACACACTTCTCACACAAGGCGAACACTCAGAAATGAATTAACATAGACTTCCTCAGAAATGCAGAGATTTCCCCAAACCCTCAAAGCAATGGAGAACCAATGAGACAAAGGAGGCCCTCACTGTAGATGTGAAGGATCTTCAATGGAACTGAAGGACAATCCATAGAGAATATGAGTGTGATGTGTTGGAAAGCTGAT